GGGCGTAGGTCTGCGTTAGAAAGAAGCACACGAGGAGGTTGTTGCTGAGAACGCGACTAAGAACAGACCCTTGGAAGAGTCCCTCTCTCCCTCTTCCCCGCCTGCGAATCCCATCTGGCACTCCTTCCTCTGGCCGAAGAACTGCCTGCTCTCCTTCACCTAGGCGATAGGAGCATCTCAGCCCCAGCTGCGCCCTTTCTGCTCAGTCCTGGGACCTGTTAGCCTTTCATTTGTAAAATCCCTGCCATTTGAGTTCTCCCTTCCCTCCTCCCCCCTGGACTCTCTGAGAGGCAGGACACAGTCTCCCTAGCTTCCCACTTCCCCTCCAAACCGCCTCCATCTAGGCGGTTGGCTGCCACACTCCAAGATGGGATCTGACAGAGGAAATCACCGTGGAAGGAAGTATGAAGCCCTTTGGAACCTCTACAGGCATCCTCCTAGCCTGTAGTTCCTGAATCTCATTCAGAAAGGGTCTTCGGTCTGCTCTCTTCATGTATTCTCCCCGACGGAGAAGCCAGGCCTTTGCTGGCTCCGTCTCGCCCCTCTCTCTGCTAATTTTAAAGGTGCAGTTGGAGGGAAACAATAGATGCTTTGTTCATTCTCGCACCGGGCATTCACTGGGCACCTGCCATGTGCCAGGCACTACGATCAAGCTTCTCACCCCGTGGTACTTACAGCCAAGGGGAGTGAGACAGAGACTAACCACGCAAATGGACAAGCGATCCTGATTGCCACCAGTGACGGGAAGGTGACAACTGGGGTGTGTGATGAAGGGTGATGCCAGGAGGGGCTCCGGAGGAGACATTTGGATATACATAAAGCTTGAGGATGGGAGTCGGGTCTGTAGAATGTGAGGAAAGAGCTGCTAGGCAGACGGAACAGCCAGTGCCTGAAACAAGTTTGGTGCATTTGAGGAATAGCAAGGAGGCCACGGTGGCAGCCAAGTGGACGGCCAGACAATCAACAAGAGCCAGGGTCTGAAGAAGGCGTGTGTTTGCATAAATGCTAGGAATCCTAGGCAGGAGTGCCTTAAGGATCTATTTGCATGTTTGAAAACTCATTCTGGCTGAGTGTGATCAATGTAGGTGGTTGGTGATGTTAACCAAAAAAAGGGTGGATTGATAGGCTGGTTAATATCTTCTCTTCTGAGATCCGTGACGTACAGCTGAAGGAGCAAAAGACACCCACCTCTGGACAGACACGACTTCTTGGGGGAACTGGGCATGTTACCCAGATTTGTCCCCTAGACTGTGTGGCAGGTCCATTTTTGCCAGAGCAACAGATGCCAGAAATCAGATGGCAGGAGCCAAGGAGGCACCAAAAGATGGGGAAAACCAGAGCAGGCAGTGGGGCTGTGGAAACTTCCATCCACCTGGAATCCACCAATGGGCTCAGGCGCAGGAACCATTGTGAAAATGGTACAGGACTGGGCATTGTTTTGTTGTGTTGTACACAGGGTCCCTGTGGGGCAGAGCCAACTTGACCTATGGCCCCTAACAACAGCCCTAGCAACCAAATCACCCGGGACGTGAAGCTTCCAACCCCAAACCAAACTCACTACAGTACAGTCCGTTCCAATTCAGAGCTATTCTACACGGAGCGTTTAGAGTCTGATTTTCTGCCATCAGGACAGTGCTGACTCAAAGCAACCCCCCTGTGGGTGTCCAAGACTGTAACTGTTCACGAGAGTAGAAAGCCCAGTCTTTCTCCCGAGGAGCTGCTGGTGGTTTTGAACTGCCGATCATTTGATCAAAGCCCAATGTGTACCCTCTGCACCACCAGGGCCCCTTTTTATTGAGTGTGGGCCTTTGGAATGTGTTTCCTAGTCATCCTCAGGTGGGCTTGGTGAACTGCCACCGGTTGCCACTGACTGCTGGGGACTCTATGTGTGTCCACCAGGTGTTGCCAAATTGATTTCAACTCATCATGATCCCGTATGTATGAGAGTAGAACTGTGCTCCACGAGGGTTGTGGTAGACTCTTTAGAAGTAGATGGCTATGTGCATATATTTATAGGGTTAATGTTAAGGTTGCAGATGGACATTGGGCCTCTACTCAAGCACTCCCTCAACACTTGGTTCTATTAACCTGGCATTCCATGATGCTCACCTTCCACACGTGATTGCTGAAGACAAAGGGGGTGCATAAGCAAAGATGGTGAAGAAAGCTGATGGTGCCTGGCTATCAAAAGATATAGCGTCTGGGGTCTTAAAGGCTTGAAGGTAAACAAGCGGCCATCTAGCTGAGAAGCAACAAAGCCCACATGGAAGAAGCACACTAGCCTGTGTGACCACAAGGTGTTGATAGGATCAGGTATCAGGCATCAAAAAAACAAAAAATCATATCATTGTGAATGAGGGGGAGTGCGGAGTGGAGACCCAAAACCCATCTGTAGGCAACTGGACATCCCCTTACAGAAGGGTCGTGGAGAGAAGACAAGTCAGTTAGGGTGCAGCATAGCACCAACAAAACATACAACTTTCCTCTAGTTCTTTAATGCTTCCTCCCCTCGCCCCCCACTATCATGTTCCTAATTCTACCTTACAAATCCGGCTAGACCAGAGCATGTACACTGGTACAGATCAGAGCTGGAAACAGAGGGAATCCAGGACTGATAAACCCCTCAGGACCAATAATGAGAGTAGCAATACCAGGATGGTAAGGGGAAGGTTGGGGAGAAATGGGAACCGATCACAATGATCTACCTATAACCCCCTCTCTGGGGGACAGACAACAGCAAAGTGGGTGAAGGGAGACATTGGACAGTGTAAGACATGACAAAATAATAATAGTTTATAAGTTATAAAGTGTTCGTGAGGGAGTGAGGGTGGAGGAGGGAGAGGAAAAAATGAGGAGCTGATACCAAGAGCTCAAGTGGAAAGAAAACGGTTTAAGAATGATGATGGCAACAAATATACAAATGTGCTGGCCACAACAGATGTGTGTATAGATTGTGATAAGAGTTGTACGAGCCCCCAACACAATGATTTTTTAAAAAAGAGGAAGTAGCTGGCTCGGTCTTTCTGGGTGGACTCGAATCACAGTCGTTCGGTTAGCAGACAAGTTCCATCACTGTGCTGTAGCTTATGATTGACAGCCCAGAAAGCTCTAGACACCGTTTAGTTCCCTGTGGTAGCCAAACCTTTGAAAGCTCAGTGTGAGGGGCAGAAGACAGCATCCCCAAATCGTCCCATGTCGGTGCTAGAGGTGCAGAGATGAGTCGTGCCTGACCCCCGTGCCCGGCCCATGGAGGCGGTTTGCCATCTCCAACAGTAGGAGAGCCGTGCTTACGATGCTGAGGCTGCAGAATGCGTTTGGAAAGCCGACAAGTGGTGTCCAAGGAGGCTCCACGGGCCATTTGCCATTTCCAAGCAGAAGCAGGGGCTGGAAGGCTTCCATAGGAAGCTTCGTCAGGAAGACTGTCATTTCCAGGGAGCTGGCCGATCCCTTCTTGGCTCTTATCACACGGCCAAGGCAATTCTCTGTGAAGCGCTCTCCCCGGTTCACTAAAGCTGTGCTAAAAGGATGTCCTCCCACGGCCTTACCTCGCAAAGCTGCTCCGGAGACTACAGGGTTGGCCTCCCTAGACTTCAGTCTAAAATCCATTTTTCAACTGCCAGCTGGTTATTTCCTGGCCACCTACCAGTGTCTTCTTGTCAATGGGTCCCAAACCAAGTCATCATCTTCCCCTGGCCGGGCCGTCCTGTTTCTGTTAATGGCATTGCTCTGCTCTCGGCTAGTCTGGCTGGAAATTGTCGGAGTCATCCCTGACTCATCTTGCCCTCCCATTCTCTATAGCAAATCAGGAGTCGAATCGGGTCCCATCTATTTCCAGGGTGTTGCTTGAATCTGTCCCCTCCTTCCTGGTGCCACGATCCCCCTCCTCAGTGCAGGCTGTCACTACTTCCTGTTCTCTTGTGGTGAAAGAGATGTAACAGAAAATGGGCCGTTGGAAGCACGCCGTTCCCTCACGTTGTGCAGCCTCCACTGCCGTCAATGTCCCCGTTATTTCTTGCTCAGCAGGAGCCTCCTGACTTGTTAGCCCATCTTCCCGTGGCTGCTGACTTACTGTCTCTTCATTCCATTTTCTCACCTCCCTTCTGGAGCCTCCTTGAATGCCTCCCAGACCAGAGTTCATATCCCTCCCCGCCAAGCTGCCGTCTGTGGCTCCCCACTGCAGACACATGCCATACAAATCATCTTTTCCCTTTAGAAGCCACGGGTCCTTTCCCAGCATTCTATGTTCAAGTTGAATTCACTCAGCCCGGATGGAAGCGACCTTGACCCCCCTCCGAACCCTCCAAGTATATGGCTTACAGAGTTCTTGCACGACTAAGTTCTTTATTCCATGCACTTATATGGTTGCTTGATCTTCTTGGAAGAGTTGATGTTCTACAAGGTAGGGGGTTGTATTATTTCTTTCATGCTTGTTTCTACGTCTTCTAAAACTTGAGTCACTTGTTTGTGCGGGGCACTGTTCGAAGTGCTTTGTGCAAGGGGGCTTCAACAAGATCCTGAAAAAATGAGATTAAAGACAGTGGACATTTTCCATGAACTACTTGAAGCCCCACCCTCATATGTGTGACAGACTTTCACTCTCCTAACAATCCTGACTGAGCTCCCATGTTACCAATGACAGAATTGAGAGACAGAGACATTGAATGATGTCTGCAAGTTTCTATAATTAGTAAAGGGGTAGAGCCAACATTCAAATGTACAGGGTCTGGCCCCACCCTGGTTATACTTTGAACTGCCGAAGTCCCATTTAGTCTTGTGACTACTAGATGCCAATTTGCATTTTGCAAATATTCTATCACAGAACTGAAGGACAGGGTGTGTGTTTCATTAGTGGTCAGAAATATTCATGGCAGACTGAGGTTGCAAATGTGAACTGCTATCAGGTTCTGATTTAAGGTATTTCCCAGCAAACCACAATGAAGCTAAGAGACATCTTTGTGCTATTTGCCCCCCTACTTCCTCTTCTTCTTTTCTTCTTCCAGTACATGGGCTGTATTGAAGTGCTGCAGTCAATGAGGTCACTGGATTTTGGAATGAGAACCCAAGTAACAAGGTAAGAGAACAAAAATGGAAGGTTTTGAGAGCCATACCTTAAAGTCACACTAGTCTCTCCTGCAGAAACGTAATGCAAGCCTTCAAAGTCATTATAGAATTTTATCTATATGGCTGGAAGGTAGGACATGGCCCAGTGTCCTTGGATGAGTGGGGTTTTTTGGTGTGTGGATGAGTGGCTCATTGCGTGAAATCTTTCCCAACCAGATGGGAGAGCGTCTGTGTTCCTTATGAGGACTGCTGGTAAGACGATGCAGCCTGAGCTGGCGCCCCAGGTGCAAACAATATTTCATATTGTGTCTGGAAGAAGGGGCCTCACCGAACCTCAGACTTGTCCAAGAGGTAGCTGAAAAGAAGAGCTGGAGTGAATTTTCAACGCCAGGAAGTCCAAATGCTGATCATTGATGACATCTTTGACATTAAAACATGCCCACTCCTTGTTTACCTGCATAAAAGCCTCTGGTTCGGGGAGATGGATAGAAGGGTGAATCAGAATGAGCCTTTTCCAGAGGTGTCCTCAGGCAAATTAAGGGGAGGTCCAGAATCAATGGTATGCAGAGCTCAAGTCAGAAGCAGAAATACAAGCTATGGTTCGGTAAGGCCAAGTTCAAGGCAAGGATGGAATGAGAGGAAAGAAGAGTACCAAGACTGAGCCAGGAAAACTGAAGCAAGGGAGATGGTGTAAGGTTCCAAGTGTCATGTGTTGGGGCTCTGTGGGCTCAGCAGCACACCTAGGTCCTTGACCAGAAGCAACAAGGCAGACGGGTCAGATAGAAACATCGACCTTTCAAAAAAATCTAAATTTACTGAAGCAAAAGATGTATCATCACAGAATTCACCAATAGGTTCCTTCAAATAATGAGTTCTTTGCTGGTATTTCAAAGAATATTCAGTAAGCAAAAAATCGAAGAATTTTTCCATCTGGTGTGTGCACATATTGCTGTAAGTGAAGGTGATCTTTGAAACTAGTCTTCAAGATTCTCAGTTTTAGGGTATAGTTTGAAAGTAGATTTGAGCTTAGCTTTTATTATGGAACACTAGCTTTTCCCTCATAGGTAACTTTAATGGAAGCATTTTCTTTGAGTCCAGGATTTTTTCTTTAAGCTTTCCTCTGACCTTAACATTAGATTGGCACACTCAATAAATCATGTACCTCAAAGACATATGAGTGTACCTGCCCTTGAGTAGATAATGTCATCAGTTCTCACATGACCAGAATAAGAAAATGGTTCATTAACCTTACAACCTCTACTTCCAACGTTATCTCCCAAATACTCCTTCTTCCTCCTCTTTTAGTTTCCCTTCCCCTGGCCTGGTGAACTATCTGTTGGACTGCTCACCAGAAGGTCTGCAGTTCGAATCCTCTAGCCACTCCTGGGGAGAATATTGAGACTTTCTGCTCCTGTAAAGATTTCCAGGCTTGGAAACCCGAAGGGGCAGTTCTATTCTGTCCTATAGGATCACTATGAGTCAGAGTTGACTCAATGGCTGTGAGTTTTGAGTTTTTCTTCCCCGTATGCTTCTTTGACATTCAGTCACCATGCAATTTACTTTATTATCAGGTATATAGATGTTATCATTAAAACATTACTGTTGAGCCAGGGTTCAAAATTTCTTATTTAACATTTTTCTACATTTACAGTTTCCTCATTTACCTCCTAGTTCTTTTTAGTCTGGGAAGAACTTTTCAAAGCAGGCCAATTAGGATTCCTAAAAGAAGAACATTTGTGTGTGTGTGACCACAGATATAGCCTTGGCAGCTGTCTCCAGACATTTTCCATCAAGCATAAGATAAATTAGGTGTGGATCCTGATACCTAGTGTGGTTAATTTTGACTACAGATGCCAACAACTGATGCCCCACTCATGGTAAAAGTCTCACCTTCTCCATACTAGTTAACACATTATTCCAGATAATAGAGAAACGACATGAAATTCCTGGTAATAAAAGAGACGCCATGATTAAGAGGCACCAATAGGGTCAACAGAGGCCTAACGTGGACTGGAATCTTCTGGTCTTTATGAAGAACTCTTCTTTCAAAGGACTCATCTACTTGAGGTTAAATCCCTGGGCCTGAGAACACAGAAGTACTGAAAAGAGAGCAGATTACAAAGAAAGACGAAAGATGGTTTATGTTCTCACTAATTCTGCGGTTACACCCATTGGAAAGCTTTATTCACACTTCTCCACCTTGACCAGACTGGACTACAGGTTTGTCCACCGAGGGAGCCCTTTGGGAAGGGTTTGATCTTGCTCCTTCATAAATTCTCCCCGAGGCATTGATCGTCTTGGCTGATTCGGGACAAGACCCAACCCAACCCAACCATCTAGCCAGCTGCAACTCCTAGTAGCCCTATAGGACAGGGCAGAACTCCCCCTGTGTGTTTCTGAGGCTGTAAATCTACAGGGGAGCAGAAACGTCCATCTCTTTCCTGAGGACTGGCTGGCTGTTTCCAGTTGCTCGACCGTGGGTTAGCAGCCCAGTGCATAACGACCTGCATCACCAGGGTCCAGGATTGGAGATCAGACTTAATCCCACCCCCCATTTTTTAAATAGCTAAATAAGTCTTTCATATTTATTTCTAATTGCAAATGTACAGAAATTGCACAGCCACACAGTCTTAGAACACCAACCATGTTCTCCGTGCGGTATGGTACAGGGGCGGTGCAGCTGGTGGGAGGAGGAGGCGCTCCAGCCAAACTCCCTTCGCATTCCCTCCTTTTCACATACTTACAGAAAGGGGCGGGCAGTGGGGCTGCATTTGTTTTTCTTTATAATTAAAGTTTTAAAACACTGTATTGGGACCTAATCCACATATCATAAAATTCAATCATATCAAGAAGAGTTGTGCAATCATTACCATAGTCAATCTTGTACTCCTTGTCATGAGCTCCCCCTTTCCCATTGCCACATCCCTGAGAAGCAATAAACCCAGGTTCCATCCCTATCGATTCACCCATCCTGGATTCCATACAGCAAAAATAAGGAAACAAAAAAGCCAACAACACTGACAAAGCAAAATAGAGAAAAACTCAATCGAAAAGGAAATACAAAACACTGAACATTAAAACAACTTTAAAATGAGTCAAAGGGGAAATCAAACGATAAGATGTTAAATTTCAGCCTAGCTGCATCTGCTGTAATCCACTTTCCAATACACTCTATTCACATCCCTGGTCTCTGATCCCAGGGAATTCATTGGCGGCTCCATCCATGTGTATTTCCCCTTCACTTAAAGAAACAAACAAACAAAATGATTCATTTTGGGTCAGCGGGGGTGGGGGTTGTCATGTAAGATGTTACATTTTAACCTAACTATACATTACTCTCTATCTGATAACAAGGTATTGCCATCCCTTGAGTCTGGTCAGACCCCAGTTTTTAGAGAGAAGTTATGCATGCAAAATAGCAAAGGAGGAATTCTTTCCTGATAGTAAAGAGGAAGAAGTTCAGTAGGACTGATAGCCAGAGAGATCCTCAAAATGGCTAGAAAACCAAGTCAAAAGGAAATAACGAGGGGCAGGAAATGAAAAATGATGCGATGGCTTAGCCATTTGCTCTTTCTTATAAAAATGTCCTCATCATGAAATTTAAAACAAAACTAAGGAAATCATTTAACCCCATTTGACCTCACCAACCAACCAACCAACCAACCAACCAACCAACCAACCAACCAACCAACCAACCATATCACCAACACTCAGAGCCTCATCCCATTCTCTACAACAAGCATCTATTTCACAAAGCGAAGGCGAACAAATCTCTGCCCCCATGAATGCTTCCCTCTTTGTGTCTAGGTGGGACCCTGCCTCAGGCCCCAAAGTAGGAATAGCTCAAGAAACTGGATAGGAATTGGCTTTGAACTTGGATCATCTGAATTTCACACTTTGAGCCATCAGAAAATTGGAGAACTCTGGTAGGGTAGTGGATTGAGCACTTTAAAACCACCCGCCTTTTTGCAGGACAAAGATGAGGCTTTCTGCCTGGGAAAGACTTAACCTATGAATTTGACAGATTCAGAAACCTACCAGGCCAGTTCTGCTGTGTCCCCAGGTGACTACGAGTCAGAGTGGACTCGATGACACGGAGCTGGAGCCAGACTTCCTCCCATCCTGCAGTGCATCGTTTACCGCAGCAGGACGCAGAGTTGGAGGAAGGGACCGTTTTATCTGTATCTTAGTTCTCTTCTTCTTTCGATACATATTGCCTCACTTGTGTGACTCATATTTGGGCATGAGAGCAGCTCGGGTGAGAATGGTCCCCAGCACAGGATCTGCCCTCAGGGGCCGTGGGTTTGCCCCATTCCTGTATCTGGTGTCCTGGGATCTGTGATGAAAAGATGGGGAATTGATGGAGAACAGGTGGAGAGTTCTCCTTTTGGGGTCATTTCTCAAGCGGATCATAAGGTTCTGCATGTTGTGGTTTCGGAGTCTGCCCTAGCCTATTCCTTGGTGGATAAAGTCTTAGCGGCATTTGTTTTCAGCTGCTGTTCTACACAGTAAGCAGGCTGTTCGGGTGATTTGGTACTAGGTAAAGTACCAAGGAAGCAGGGATCATATTTCAGAGGATATTATAATTGGACTAATTTCCTGTTTGTAATGTTATTGCTCATGAACAGTGATTCTGCAAATTTAATTCATTATCTTGAAATGTTGGTTCATTGGCTTCAGAAGGACACTAAAGGCAGTTCTTTACTGAGAAATGCATACTTTGTGTGTGTGTGTGTGTGTGTGTGTGTGTGTGTACGTACCACAAGATGCAAAGCAGATCCAACATGCAGACACAGTGGAACGTTTTATGAAAGCTTGCTAAAAATATTGCCACCGCTTCTAAGAAATGTGAACATTAGCAGGAAAAGCAAGGATCAGCAATATGGGTGTTAGGTAGTGAATTAAGCTACTTCTTTGAAAACAGGCTGACCTTTATTTCAGTGGTCGGTATGGGATGTGCTGCAGTCATGTTTGAACATCACTGGGTGAACCTGGACTTTGTGAACAGTA